GTGGTTTGAGTTGAAGGTGTGAGAAAGAATAGTATCAGTAACATTGTTAACACTGTGCTACATTACAGAGAAATACAAACCGTACTAATGAACCTTCATTAATATAGGCCTATATTTTATCTCCAAGTGCACGTCACACACTGAGCGAGCCGCCTGTTAATGACGCTGTGGGCTAATGGGCATGTAGCTACTTCCATGTTTCACATGATACGTCATGTTTGTAGTCGACCAATGAAGATGTGAAGTTTACAGGCATCAGACACCGACACACAGAGGCACCTTTCACAGTAGTATTTCAGGTACCGGGCGGCGGCCTTTGGCAACTACTGTAGTAGAAAGAATAAGAAAGTCTATGTGGGGCGGGAGGGGTCAAACAAACTCTGGACTTTCACCCAGGAGACCACTGTTTGTTTCCTGTGTGAAAGCAAAGGTTTGGGGTAAAATCACTTCTTTGTGGAGATACAAGTCAACTTTAAATGCTTTAAAGTGTGAGTTTAGTTTTCTTTATTATTTACTGATGCAATAGACTCAACATCGATGGAATTTTAGTCTTGTTTCGTCGTTTAATAACTGTGTGTGCGTGTTTTTATTTCAGGTGTATGATGGTAACAGCAGCAGTTCTCCACAGCTGGCCAAGTTGTGCGGCAGTGAGCTGCCCAGCACCATCAACTCCTCCAGCAACCAGCTCTACGTCAAACTCCGCACTGACAACAGCGTCAACGCAGGAGGCTTCCTCGCATCGTACACTGCCAGTATGAAAACACACACACACACACACACACACACACACACACACAGAGGCTGGCAGGGTATTGCAAATAGCGCAGTGTGATCATTCAGTATTATGTTATATTTTGTCAGCTCTGGAACACAAGGTTGTGTGTTGCTGAAGGAGGTTTAAAAGAAATAAAGACAAAGCTTTTTATCAGGTTAGCAGATGTGCAGAGGTGGAGGAGCCCAAACTGTGATCAAGTCAAAGCATTGTTTCTTGCAAATACCATGCACTTAAGTATTTTTTCTGACTAATTTTACTTCTACTTTAGTTCGAGTTCAAAATGTTCTACTGAAAAAACAAACGTTTGCAGTGGCACACAGCTTTTTCTTTCTCTCCTCTTTTATTCTATTTAAACATGACTGACATCATTTGACCACAGGTGATAACGGTGTGACATTTCATTATGACTTTTTTTTTTAATTAAATACAGGTGTGTTCATTTCATTTCTGTGACCATTTTATTGGTGCTCGCTTGGATATTTACATAAGGAGAAAAAGCTGGATTACAATTTGAATTAAAAAGAATAAGCCAACAAAAGTTTTTGAGTGTGTAAAAATGTAAAGAAATAAAAGTGCTGATTTATAACCCCGAATATACAAAACAGAGACTAAAGAAAATGTAAAGGACTGAAAGTAACTTATTACTCTTCATCTGTGCAGACATGCTGGGAAAGAACATTGAATTCTGAACGAGGACATCCAGCCTGTTTTTAATGCATTTTTTAAACAAGATTTTCACAAACAATTTAAATGAGCTATAAATCTTAATCTGTATGTGAATATGTGTCTATAATGAAAGCATTGGGCCTCATTCACTAAGAAGTCTTTTCTTAAATATGTTCTTGAGAAAGTTCCTTACAAAAGTCTATGTCAGATTCATGTCGTGTTCTGAAACCGGTAAAAATGCTGTGTGAAGCAGTTTCATGTTACAAATTGTTTCTCCGACCGTTTGGCATGTCGGATCGGGCGACTCCCCCAACACGTCTTTTTTTTGTGCTCACCCTTTTCTCATCCAGACATTCAGGAGGTTTTTACCGTGAGCTAGTGATGGCCAAATGAAGCCTCATGAAGCATTTTCTTTATTTTCTGAGCCCACTTGTGGTTTAAAGAGAGAGGCTCAAAGAATGGCAATTCAGTGTGCTTTCAACCTTTTGTTGAACAAAAGGCGCCATCTAGTGGGCTCATAGAATAAAGAAAATGCTTCATAAGGCTTCATTTGGCCATCACCACTGTAAGCCAAATCAGTCACAGAGGTCAAATGGACCTGGTGATTCAAACACTGAGTAGAACAGTTTCACTTTAGATGCCAGTGAGACTCTAGCTCTGCTCGTTGCAGAGGGGCTGCCAACTACTTTGGTTTGTCCGTTCTGGGCTACTGTAGAAACATGGCGGTGCAACTTGGTGATCTCCGTAGAAGAGGACCTGCTCACTATGTAGATATGAAAGGCTCATTCTGAGGTAACAAAAACACAACTATTCTTATTTTCAGGGGCCTTTACACTAAAGAAATCCTTATTATTGGATAATATTCCATTTCTGCTGATGTAAATCCTTCACACTGGAGCTTTAAGAACAGCTGGTGAATGAGTCCCATTATTTGTTTTTATGATAAAATTTCATAGGTTTGATATTTGAATACTTGTTATGGTAGCTTTAAAATGCTGTGTCCATCTTGATGAAGGTGTGCGGACTGTGGAAACAGCAGGAAGAGCGTTGCAAATAAATCCAGGATCTTATCGTTCTATCTCTGACATGAGTCTGGGATATTCATACAAAAACATGTGTTAAGTCATAAAGCCATAATCCTGTTCCTCTCATGTTGGCAACATATGACTGTAGCAGATATTAACTGAACTCCTCAGACTCCACTGCAGTGGTTCAGATTAAATGAGTGTTGTATTGTAGCCTGTTGTGTTTTGCTTTAGCGTTCTGTTGTGTTTGTTTTCAGAATGCAGCGGCGTGCTCATCTCAGGCCGACACATAGGAGTGGTGGAGTCACTGAACTATCCCAACAGCTACCCACACAACACCAGGTGCAGCTGGACCATCCAGGCCAGCAGCGGAAACACCGTCAACTACACCTTTTTATCCTTTCAGCTGGAGGCCACCTCCAGCAGCTGTCAATTCGACTACGTCAAGGTACACAGACACACACTGTTCAGCCACATCTACTGAAGGAAGACCCTGACAGATATCAGCACTCACAGATCCCCTGTCCCCACATTAGCTTGACAGTTAGTGAGCTTGATGATTTGATGAATTGATGGGGGCTTTGGTGCCAGCAGTGTGTTGCTGACAAAAACCAAACTGGTCTCACCCCCTACTTGTCAAACACTGATACTTGGTCAGTGGCGATTCTATAGTTATGCTCCCATGTGCAGAAGGCACCGCTGCAGATATTTCAGGACATGAATGCAAGTGGCCGAACAGAAAACTAATGCAGGATATTATTTACCGTTAGATCCTGATGAGTAGTGTCAGGAGAGCTACGTGATTTAGACCCCCATCGTGTGTTTCAGCATCTGGAGGCGCATTTTTGTATTTGTTTTTAATGAGAATGAAGCTTTTTGATCGCTGTTTTCGCGTTGCTACACACCTCGTGTTTCTGCGCTTTAGGCGCCTGGTGTTTTTTCTGGAGCGCTCTGAACTCCTCAGGTTTAAAAACTTTAACTCAGAGCGGTAAAGCGTCCCATTTCATCTCCGCTTTGTTCCCATTGTCCAATTGGATTATTTCAGGGGCGGGGCTTCTGTGGTGGTCACTACAACAAGTTTACAGTTGGTAAACAATGGAGGAGAAACTGGTGGTAGTGGTTGCTGGATACCCAGAGCTATACGACTTTACAAAGCACAGTTAGCACCATCTCAATAGAAAACAGCAGGTGTGGCAGCTCCTGGACCAACTGGTAGTGATGGCCAAATGAAACCTCATGAACCTTTTTTTTTTTTTTTCCTGAGCCCACTAGATGGCGCTCAAGGTTTAAAGACAGAGGCTCAAAGAAATGCAATTCAGTGTGCTTTCAACCTTTTGTTGAACAAAAAGCGCCATCTAGTGGGCTCAGAAAATAAAGAAAATGCTGCACGAGGCTTCATTTGGCCATCACTACCAACTGGTGGTACTCCCCATGACGCAGCCTCTTTTTTAGGGTCTCATGTACCCACACAGATCTCTGTTTATCTGCTGACAGCCTCTCACCCTCAACCAGAGCTACATACAGTACCCTCTGCCTCAACATGGCAGCAGCTACACCGGTGGCGGCTGCTGGTCTCTCAAACAGGGGAAGCTCACTTTAAGTTTACATCATAAAATGTGTCATATTGTAGCGAGGCAGTAACTTAGGAAAGGAACATTTAATTGAAGCCGTTTTTCAACCACACTCACGCCATAGAACCTCAGCAACACAAAGAGTTTAAAGGTGAAAATGAGCTATATGGCTTATGGAAATAAGGAACTCCGGACGGTACTCTGTCAGAAGATTCCACTCGCAAATATCCGCATGGGACTGAGCTCGAAACGTGACGATGCCGGTGTGTATTTCCAAAGTGCTGTCAGTCACAAAGGGGTTCAGCCTTTTAGACAATTCCTCCAATCATTATGCAGACACCGAGCGTCCTCTCTCGCCTACCGCTGCATTAGGTCCCAGGGAAGGTGAGCCTCCCTGGAAGTGACGATTTTGACGCATTTGTTAAATGAGCTTCTCGCTTTGCTGCATGAAAAAAACCTGCTCAGCGCTGTCTCATAGGAATGCTTGGAGGCTCTGCGTCCACCGTGCTGACACGAGAATGTATGACAGGGAGGTCGCGTTTGAAAACTGGTGATAAACAGCTGTTTGAACATCATAGTCATGATGTGAAACGCATCCTAGTGCACGTTTAATGCAATGTAAATTCTGATTTTAATGTAAATTCAATAGTGCAAAGACAAATTTGTTTGCTTTCGCTGCCAACACTGCAGCGTTACAGTACCAAATAATCATAAATAGCCCACTGCAGAGGAGCCATTTGTGGTAAATGCTCATTTAGACCTATTTTTAATGTCGATGTTTTGCTCCTTATTTTGTATTTCTCTGGTCACTTTGAGTCTTTTTTCGGTCAGCAGAGTGTCCGGGGGTCACCAACACTGACAGCAACACTTGTTTAAACGCTCAGTTTGATGGTGATGGTGTCGGAGTGTTATACTGTTGGTTTTTCTGTTATTTTAGTCAAATACGCTCCCCACTCATACCACTGTCAAATATCACTGTTCTAGCTCTTCGATGGACCTAATGAGCAAGCTCCTTTGATTGGTACCTTCTGTGGATACAACCCCCCCCCAGCCAACACCACCACAGGCTCAACTCTCACCGTGGCGTTCAGATCAGACTCCTCTGTCTCCATGTCTGGCTTCCAGATGATGTGGTACCAGAACGGTAAGAGGGAGACACACAGACATCTGGACTTGCTAAGATTTTTTTATGAAAAATATACAATGAGCACAAAAAATATGATCAGTAAGACTGTGATACTCCAGTAGATTAATGTCAGTGAAATTCATTGTGTCATATGTATTAATGTGTGATTCAAAGGATGAGACCAGAAAACGTCTGTTATGAGACATTACTGATGTACCAACTACACGATGACCAACTATTGTACCTGCCATTGTCACATTCCTAGAGAGTTTATTCTTGACTGTACAGTTGAGATGACTGTACCAGGGAGGGAGGTGAAAAGTTAAAACACTCTCAGCCATAGTTTAGTGCACTAATTCTAAAATCTGCTGACGAACACGAGACCACAGACTTTACTAAAGTCCAGTTCAGACCAAAGATCTGTGACGAGATGAAAATGATTTAAAACTCTGCAGAGGAAATTATCAGCGGTGTGAAGTGGCCAGTCTGAGCTCGACTCAAGCCGGCTGATGGTGTCACCTGACACTCAACATATCTTGTTGAGAATCTTTGGTGTGGACTGGGCTCAAGAAGATCAAGTTGCTGTGAGCACCTCTTGAAAATATACGCTGTATTTCCAGAGAAGCTCTCGTGGGAGTCTAGAGCCATATCGAACTTGCTGATGCGACACCATGTTTGAAGGGCTTTAGTGTGAACCAGTGTGACTTTCTGTGTGTCCCTGCAGGTTGTGGTGGGGAGCTCTCTGGTCCTAGTGGCTCCTTCAACAGCCCAGACTACCCCAACAGGTATCCAGAAAACAGGGAGTGTATCTGGTATATCACCACATCAGCGGGCAGCAGCATCACCCTCACTATCCATGAGTTTGATGTGGAGTACCACCAAGACTGCAACTACGATGTGCTGGAAGTAAGATGCAAACTTATCTGTTAGCGTGCAGCGTGTGTTCATAAAAACTGGGCTCGCTGCAGCATTGATCCAGGTGGTTTAAACTGGTTTTTGGGACCGTCCCATCCTTGGGAATTTCCTCAAATTTGGCACAAACGTTTACTTGCACAATAATGAACTGATTAGATTTCAGTAGTCAAAGGTTAAAGGTCAAGGTTAGTTAGTCCATAACTCTAAAATTTATACGCTCATTATGACGAAACTTTACACAAATGTGTAAGAGGGTAAAATAATGAAGTCCCGAAGGTCAAGGGTCAACCTCACTTTGACATCATATCATAAAACACTTTTTCTTTAATTTAATATTCAGCGTCATATCTCAGGAACAGAAGGGGAGACATTTGGTCAGACACTGAGTTGGTGACTCTAATCTTGGGAGTCCATGACACGTGGTGTCAGACTGTGCTAGAAGCATTTTACTGTGGTAGTTGGTTCAGGTGGAGGTAACTTTAGTGACTCTACCACCCAACAGTAAAACAGTCATCTCAAACAATTCATCGAATTTTCTGAACATGTAGCTGAACGGCCTGCAGACCCCGACCACACTGCGTGATGTTCTGGTGCACAATCAGACACTGGACACTAGAATATCTCATCGAACTCAGGTTTATTTCTGTTATAAATCCACAGAGAGCAAAACGCTGTCAGGTGTATTCTATCCTCACAACAACACGCCTATCACTAGAAAAAGACAAGTTTAAACATGTATTTCATGTATGACGCCAGCGCATACACACAGGAAAAACGGGGTTTAGCAAGTTCACTCAAAACTCACTTTACAGGTAAAATGCCTGACAGAAAATTGCTCAGCTAATCTACTCTATGAACAAATGACTCGGCAGTGTTGCTGTTGATCTTTCTGAAAGAGTGAATGGTATTGTAGTCGGCCTGTTGAACACCACCTGACTTCTCCTCAGGTGTACGGTGGTCCGGACCTGTTGGCTCCTCGGCTGGCCCAGCTCTGCACCACCACATCCAACCCAATGCAGGTCTCCAGCACCGGCAACCTGCTCACAGTGCGCTTCAAGTCTGACGCCTACGTCAGTGGGCGAGGTTTCAATGCAAGCTGGGCTGAAGTTCAGGGAGGTGAGTGGAATGACTGGGTGTGCATGCCGTCCCTCTGGGGACAGTATTAGAGACTGTGTGTGTGTTTCGTTAAAGGGACAGAGTGGGTTGAGTTTAGCTGGACATCTTATTTTTTTTTACAGTACATGAGGTAACAACAGTTATGAATTCTAGTGATGGCCAAATGAAGCCTCATGAAGCACTGTCTTTATTTTCTGAGCCCACTAGATGGCGCTCATGGTTTAAAGAGAGAGGCTCAAAGAATGGCAATTCAGTGTGCTTTCAACCTTTTGTTGAACAAAAGCCCCATCTAGTGGGCTCATGAAAATAAAGGAAGTGCTTCACGAGGCTTCATTTGGCCATCACTACTGAATTCACAAGTGAAATAAAGTCTGTATCTAACAGAGAACTGGCAAACAGGTTTTTGAATACAGAAACACAATGTTTCTCTGAACACTGAAGGAAAATATTTTAAAATATTTTTAAAACATTTGTAATATATTTCTAATACATTTCTTACATAAGTAAGACTGTAGAAATAGTCTGGGCGAAATTATTGTTAAGACACAGAGATGACGGGCTCCCCGGTATGTTCTCGATCTTGTTCTGTGGCAGAAAAAAGAATGAGAACCTCCGCTTTAATCGACTGTCCTTGCTCCTGCAGGCTGTGGAGGCCCAGTCACTGCTCCATCTGGGGAGATCCATTCTCCATCCTATCCCAGCAGCTATCCCAACAATGTGGACTGTTCCTGGGTCATCAGTGTGGATCCCAACCATCGTGTCTTCTTCAACTTCTCTGACCTGGACATTGAACATCACAGCTACTGCTCCTGGGACTACGTGGCTGTGAGTGACTGATTTAGGAACGTTTGATTTGTGCTGTTTTCGTTGGAGCTCCCAGCCCCTTTTATTCGTTTCATTTCTTTCTTTCTCAGTGGTTTATAAATGCCAGTGGTTGCATGTGGATTAGTTACAGCTTGATTCACTGATAAAGGTTAAATACTGGGGAATTCACCCAGGGCTGAGCGGTGAAATGATCTCGAAATGGGATCACAATAAAACGTATGTCGATGATAAACTGAAGTCATATTATAAAGTCGGATGATAAACTAGACCTAGTTAGATCCTGTCAGTCAATCTGCAGTGTTTCACTTTGAAGTAGCGTGGAGTGAGGAGCAAAACAGCGGTGAAGCTGAAGAAGAGCTCATGTTATCCGCATACACGGACGTATTGTGGATTAAAATCAATAATTTGGAAGTGGTTTGGCTACTTGAAAGGTGACGATGCACAGACAAAGACGTTCTGCAAAATATGTCATCTGTCGGTGCCAACCAGGACGAGAAACTTGACTAATCTTTTCCGTCACCTGAAAAAGTGGCGTCCCAGTGACTACACTGAGATCCCAGACAGCAGTAGGTCCACCAACAAGCGTTCAACAGCCGAGCACTTCTGCTGCTGTTGGCAGCGCAAGCAGGCTGCACTAAAACAGCAATCATTAGTGTCTTCTTCCTGCCACGGCAATCCTATATGAGAGGTGACGGAAAAGGAGCAGAGATATAACAGACGCAGTGTCATACTTTCTAGCCAAAGACATGATGCCCATGAGCTCTGTGGAGAAGGACAGGTTCAAGAAATGAATTAAAGTGTGAGGCTGCAGGTACGAGCTCCCAGGCAGGAAATGTTTTTCTCAAACTGCCCTAAACTCACCAGTAGATTTGACTGAGCCCGTCCAGTGTTTGGGAAACACCTTCACGTGGTGAGGGACTTGACTCTCTGCATGACCTGAATCCTGATTGCTCCCAGTGGGCGGGCCAGGGCTTTGCATGGTATTTCCACTGCCCACTGCCCTCAGTGTGTGTGTGTGTGTGTGTGTGTTGTGCTTGGTGTATAAGGCTTCACAGCTTCACTGAAACATTATGTGTGTCCCTCTGTAGATCCACGATGGTCCAACCATAACTTCTCCTCTGCTCGCCCGTGTGTGTGGCACCAGTCTCCCGCCCTCCATCACCTCCACCCAGAACACCATCTACGTTCGCTTTAGGTCCGACTCCAGCCGCAGCCACCGGGGCTTCAGCGCTCGCTTCTCTGAGGGTAGGCCTCCTTTCTGTCTCTGTCACTACAACATGGATTAAATATCAAATCATTCAATCCACCTATCAACTCTCTTTCAGTACGAGAGGTGTCACCATTCTAAAATTAGGACATCGATCTAAACAAGCTTGTGATTTCATTCATTCATTCATTCATTCGTTATGTGACTGCTAATTCTATTCAGAGTTGTGAGGGACCTCAAGGGTTGACACTTAAGCCCCTTTTACACTGCCTGTTCAAGGTGAGGATATCGGTGTTCAGTGCTCACTCTTTGCCAAACGCCGACTACAAGACTTTCAGAATCTCAGAAGTGCTGTGCTGCTCACATCACATCACAACACAGTTTTTTTCTCAGACTACCGTCGCATTGACATACAGACGCACAACATGCACAACTGATCTCAGACGCGGTGGAAAAGATTATTCAGCTTTCCATGAGTAAAGCAAATGATTGCGATCTTGAGTGAAAACACACCAGACGTGACCGTGAGGCGGATCGTGTCAGTTTTACAGGTGCAGGCGTGATGCATTCTGCCTCACACACTTTCAGCCTATATATTAAACAAAAGAAGAATTGCTGATGGATTCTAGCCTGGTGAAACCGTCCTAATCTCGTGAGCTCATATTCGATTTCGCTCCGCAGATCGGTCTGGCCATGCAATCATTAAGGCGCATTCTGGCGTTCCCAGGCCTGACGAGATATATAATCCCTCCATCGTGTTCTGGGTCTGCCCCGGGGCCTCCTACCAGAGGGATGCACCTGGAACACCTCTAACAGGAGGCGCCCAGGAGGATCCTGATCAGTTGCCCTAACCACCTCAACTGACCCCTTTCAACAGGAAGGAGCAGCGGCTCTACTCCGAGCTCCCTTCAGGATGTCTGACTCCTCCCCCTATCTCTAAGGCTGAGCCCAGACACCCCCTATTTCAGTTGGTTGTATCTGCGATCTCATACTTTCAGTCACTATGCAGAGCTCATGACCATAGGTGAGGGTTGGGACGGAGATGGACCAGTAAATTGAAAGCCTTGCCCTCTGGCTCAGTTCCCTCTTCACCACGACGGTCCGGCACAGACTCTGCAACAAACCGTCGATCCATCTCACACTCACCTACTGCCTAGAGGGGGCAATCCACTCAGATTTGGAGGTGCTGACTCTCATCCCGACCGATTCAAAACAGGCTTAAAGTGGTTATTTCAACAACAAAGAAGCATGTCTGTCTCACTCACACCTTCTGTATGAATCCTCTCTCTGTACGTCTTCAAATCATCCATGTGGGTGACCAGTTCAGCTCTCATGCTCTGCTGGCTGAGGGGTGGAGGACCATGTCACTTTGTTTGTTTGTTTGTTTTCAACAGCTTGTGGTGCAACCATCGTAACCGACGATAACGGTGGGTCCATCGCCTCACCACGGTACCCAGCACAGTACCCACCCAATCAGAACTGTAGCTGGATCATCAGAGCACAGGAGCCATGTGAGTGGTGTTAGAAAAGGCCCTCAGACTAGCGGAGGTGTTGCTCTTTACACGGTGTTACACACAAAATGTTCTTTCAACATGCGACTTGTCTCTCTGTGGCCAGTCAACCATGTGACCCTGTCGTTCACTGACTTTGAGCTGGAGATGATCAACTCCAACTGCTCCCATGACGCTGTCAGGATCCTGGATGGAGACAACTACCAGGCACCTGTCATAGGTGAGCTACACTCTGCGTGTGTGTGTGTGTGTGTGTCAGTCAGTGAGAACAGGGTTTGTGTGCCTCACATTGAAGATATACTATGCAGGAATTATTGATAACTGTAAACAGTATCACCAGTGAGAGTGAAAGTCAACCCCAGCTCAGTCAGGAGAGACTTGAGACACAAGATGAATCGTAAGAATGTCTTCATCAGACCCCATTGTGACGTGCATGTTTACGGGAAAAGATGCTAGAGGTCGCCAGAGGACCCATGATAGGATGTTAGTGCGATATTAAGATATTGTAATATATGACTTTTTTTTCCAACTGCAAATTATTTCGCTGGTGGTGGAGGTGAAGAGATGGATGGCTGAAGGATGATAGGATGAGGAGCAGGACTGGGTGTGAGGAGGGACGCATCAGAGAGGGAAAATGCTTTTAAATTTGACTGCAATGATATGATTGGCTAAAGGACATTGTTGCAAAATCTGGTTGGATTAATTTCGAGTGACGCCCGTAGTCAGCTGAGAGTGTAAAGAGTCTTCTGACTGAACTCCAGCTGAGCGTCACCTCTGTCCACTCGGTGATTCACCTCGCTAAATGTGTGTTTTTATGCACTGTGTGTGTGATTTTGGTCCCTTCCTCTTGGATGCGTGTTGGCACCTGGTCCCTAGTGATGGCCAAATGAAGCCTCATGAAGCATTTTCTTTATTTTCTGAGGCCACTAGATGGCACTCATGTTTTAAAGAGAGAGGTTTAAAGAATGGCAACCTTTTGTTCAACAAAAAGCGCCATCTGGTGGGCTCATAAAATAAAGAAAATGCTTCATGAGGCTTCATTTGGCCATCGCTACTGGTCGCTACCTGACCTCACCTGTGCCCAAGACATCCTGAACACAGCAATGTCAGAAGCAAATAATAAACCCCAGGCAGAGGACAGAGTCTTAGCTTGAATGTATCACGTCAGCTGCTTCAGAGAAACATGTGTAGCTTTAAATTCTAATTTTTCAGGGCGCTACTGTGGAAACGAAATACCTCATCCAGTGACATCCTTCAGTACCTCTTTGGTGGTCAACTTCATCTCCGACTACTCCGTGTCCAGGAAAGGGTTCAGAGCCACCTACTCAGCATCCACCTCCAGTAAGACACCGCCTGGCTGCTCACAGTTCCAGCTGGATCATTACAAATTCCTGGTGCAGACAGCAGCTCCACAACTCATTGCTCTTGCCTCTTGTGCTCAGGTTGTGGAGGAGATCTGGTTATGGAGAGTGGTGCATTTAACAGTCCTAACTATCCAGATGCTTACCCGCCCAATGTGGAGTGTGTGTGGACCATCATAAGCTCACCAGGGAACCGTATCCAGCTCTCATTTATGTAAGTCAATTTGAGCGTCTATGGTGTAACGTGTTCTGACCTCATGGTTCACTGTGTAGTTTTTTTCTGGAGCTGAAACCCACAAAACCAGTCTGAAAATGAAGAAGCGCAGCTGGAAAGTTGGCGTCCCTGCATCAGAGTTGGTCGATGCGTTTGAGGGCGGTACTTAGCAAAGGGTCAGTTACACATCTGATCTGAGTCATTTGATATTGAGTACTGCTGCCGATACAGAGTCCCTACCTGATACTTCTATTTCCCTAGATAATGCAGCTGCACGGCGAACACTTCAAGTACTTGAAATTATTTAAATCAATCCAGTGTAGATTATAGCCTCTGCTTCACAATTGAATAGCTCTGCAGTGCAATAAAAATCCCTCTCTTGAATCTTTTTGGACTTGTTGCTGAATTTCTCTAGCGTTCTGGTGCAGTCTTTGCCTGAGTAACATGAATGAACTGTGATTCACTGAGTATTTAATTTCATCGTCTGTACAGGTTTTGCAGGGATTGCATTAATAAATTAATCTCATTGGCTTTTTGCTCACGGGGCTTTTGTTGCACTTGCAGTGGCGAGGTGAGTTTGGTTGTCTCTGTCCCTCCTCAGCCTGCGGTGACACACTGTGCACCACAGGTGACAGCACAATGCAGGAGACTCGCACTGAGCTGAAATGAAACAAGTGCTCATTAACACATAGTTTTGTGCTGCATTTTGCTGTTGTTTATGGCACGTGGTGTTTCGCAGCGGTCAGGATGCAGAGTGATGGAAAGACGGAGAGTTTAAGACAGCTACACTCGTTGGGCTGCCGAGCATAAAAATTCTGCAAGTAAAAACACGTGTTTGACATGTGACATAAAACAGAGGATCAGATCAGATCGGGCTCTATGTAACGGATCCTGATTCACAGTAAGAATAGATAGAGAAGGTTGCCAGCAAGATAACATGCATGTTCCCAGTTTGGGCTCAGTTCCGTTAAATGTTTCATACATGTTCTTTGTATTTATAATGAATCTCTGGCTGATGTTTTTGTATCCAGAGAAAATGTTATTATTAAATATCATTCACTGTCTTCTTGTGTTTTGTTCAGTATGTTTCACCTGCAGGGAGACTACGGATGTCAAAATGACTACCTGGAAATCAGAGAGGGCAACTCCACTGGCCATCTGGTTGGTCGCTTCTGTGGAAACTCGCTCCCCTCCAACTATACCTCTGTGATTGGTCACATCCTGTGGGTTAAGTTTGTCTCAGACGCATCTGTAAGCGGAGCAGGATTTCGAGCCACCTTCTCACACTGTGAGTGTCACCAGTCTTATCAGCTGTAGTTCCTCCAACAGGAAATGTGTCACCAGCATTTAATAATGTGTGAGTTAACTTTGAACTTCTTGCTGTTTCTCAGTGTATGGCAATGATGTGGAGGGGGAGTTTGGTCAGATAGCTTCCCCACTGTATCCCAGAATGTACCCCAATAATGCCCACTACCGCTGGACCATAACTGTGGAGGGAGACAGCTACATCCAGATCCGCTTTTTGGACATGGACATAGAGGACCTGCATGACTGCAACTACGACCACCTTAAAGTATGACTCTGTGTGCTGTGAAATCACACAGTATCCTTGATGTTAGCTGTAACAGTTACAGAATGTTTAACCTGTTGTGATTCCCAGGTCGTCCAATAGCAAGGCTTTGTCACGCCCCTCAAATAAGTTTGTTTCATATCATAATGTGTCACCTGATGGACACCAGTGTGCGACAGCTGTGTGTTAATGTTGTAACGTTACAATAAAGCAACAGGACGTAGGTACGTAAGTTAGGTAACGGTGTGTTAAAACAGCACTGACTTCTGGTTTCACACGGGACACAAACTGTGGTCTCGTGGGTGAAAGTCGTGTTGTTTTTTGACCCATCCACCTCACCTCCCTACACACACTTTCTTTATACTATCTCATAAACATTATCACGCATCTCATAAACACGCTATAGGGGTCGATATCAAATGTCCAGCGGTCGGTAGATGATGACCTGGGAATGAGAATGGTTTGGAATGTGTGCAGCACCACGTCAAAGTCTGTTTAGATGCATGAGTACATGAGTACTTAAACACTCACAATGTTGAGTCATGTTTATCCGTTAGTTAAAATGGATCCACATACACGACATCATCGATTGCACATCAAAGTGCAAATCAAAGGGTTTTTTCAGTTGATGAGATACACAACATTACAAACAGTGAATGTCAGTCCATGGTCAACTCCAGCCATTTTAACTAAGAAGCTGATATTCTTCCCTCACTTGAGATACTTAAACTCTCTCCCAACCTGGAGGGGACAATCCTCCGGTTTCTGGCAGAGAACCATGGCCTCAGACTTTGAGGTGCTGACTCTTATCTCGGCTGCAAACCGCCCCAGGTCATGCTGGAGGTCACAGTGCGATGAAGCCAACAGAACCACATCATCTGCAAAGAGCAGAGATGCAATTCTGAGGTCTCCAAGCCGGACCGCTTCCTACCACCAGCTGCACCTTGGTGCAGTAGATTCAATTTGGTAAGACAGCTCCCATCACTTATGTCCACAATCCTTGTTTGTCTGCAGATCTTTGATGGCCCCAGTGTTCATTACTACCCCATTGGAACATTCTGTGGTCTGGCCCTGCCCCCTCCCCTCAGAAGCTCTGGGAGCACGGTCACCCTGCAGTTCCAGACAGATTCTTCAGTGGGAGGAAGAGGTTTCCTCGTGGAATGGACAGCTGTCCAGGACTCTGGACCACCACCCACCATCACACCAGGTCAGAACGTCTGTCTCGTTGAGCCTTCGTGCATAAACCACAAAACCTGTAAGACATGCACAATGAATGCTACTCTCCAACAAAGATGTAGAGGAAAAATAGATTGGTTATGATGGAGGTAGATCTGAACAAGCAGGGTGGCACAGGCTTAACTTGTACCTTATTAATGTCAGCCTCGTACTTGAAGTCAGTCAGTGTTTTGATAGTTGGTGCTAATTCCTAGGTACTCCTAATGTGAAGCTCAGGACTTGAATATGTTTTCAAGATTGGCTTTCATCCTGCTTGCGAAATAAAGATCTGACACACACACACACACACACACACACACACACGTATATATAGGGACAGTGTCATCCCAGGTCCAGCACACTGAGACTGCACTCTAAGAGGAACGAGGGAGCACCCACATGAACGCCAGGACCAAAGGTTTTCCAGCACAACATTGCATTGTAATGAAAAGGTCGACGTCATTCACTTCACCTGTCAGTGCACTGGGAACAATAAACAGTTGGATGTTCTGTCATGGTCTGTCTCTGCATCCAGGAACTTTTTGTTTATGACTGTTTTGCATAATTTGCAGTTGCTCATCAGATTATCTGTCTTGAGTTTTCACTGCAGTATTTCTGTTGTGTTCATTATTCCATTCATTATTAATTCATGTTTGTGTCCGGGTTTATTTTGTGGTCATTGTCCGTCACTCTCCAGGATACCATGGTCGTACCTGTAATGCCTCCACACTGCCGATAGTTGTAGCCAGAGACATTGTACTTTCTGGTTGTCCATCCCATTCTCATGAACACGATATCCTAAGAACGCTTTGAGGGAACTTGGTCACCGTGAACTTTTACTTGTTAAATTCCAATGAACGTGATCTCTCAAGAATGCCTTAAGGAAATGTCTTCAAATTTGACACAAACGTCCATTTAGACTGAAAAATAAACTGATTAGAATTTTGTTTTCAAAGGTCAAAGGTCAGTGTGACCTCACAATACATGTTTTTGGCCATAACTGAAGAATTCATCCACTAATT